GACGCGCAAGTAGCAGAGGAGGCTGCCGCGGCTGCAGGTGCAGTTGAGGCACGGCTCGGTCGTGGGGACGTGGACGCCTTCGTCGTGGAGCTGGCCGTTGTACCAGCAGGCTAATTAATAATTTCAAAATTGAACAAAAATGTTAAAAAAGCAATTTTTTTATGTTTTTGAAAATTAATTAATAAAAATCGTAAAAATGATCAACTTTTTAAAATTGATCTTCTAGACGTAAAATCACGCGTTGAATACAATGTATTAGGGGTAAAATGCTCTACGATGACTAAATTTTGAGATATTGAGTAAAAGTAAAGAATTTAAAAATTTTCACTCTTTTTTGTTTTGATAATTTTGACTAAACTATATTGAAAATAACTAATGTTTTGGACTTTACTTATGTAAAATGTTCCGGGGCATCGATTGGGGTCAAAAAAACTGCTAAATTCCTAATAGTTTTGACGCTATCAGAAATTTTCTCGAAAACTATTTATCGTAGAGCACTGATCTTTTTTATATACGATATAAAATTAAATTTTCTTTCCAACGGTACCAAATATAAGAGGTTATCTCCAATAAGTCCGGAGTTATTGTCAATAGACCGCTCCGGGTGCCAAAAATCGACCAAAATCTCGACAAAAATCAAAAAAATTTTTAACTTTAAAATTGATCTATTTTACGTTTTTTACATACCTAGAGGTCTTAAGGACTCAAATAAGTGCATAAAACGCCATTGGGTCAAGTTTCAAAAATTTTGAATTTTTTGAYTTTTTGAAGGTGAGCGGTAGTAAAATCGTAAAAATAGTCAATTTACTAAAAATCGTAAAAACGGTTGAAATATGGTTTTCTAGACGTAAAATTACMCGCTGAACACGATGCAACTAGTTAAAATACTCTACGATGCATAGTTTTTGAGATATTGAGTAATAAAGTTAAGAATAAGGCTAAAAGTATAAGCACTATATACGATTTTGAACAAAAATCAAAATTTTTTGATTCTTATGAAAAACTAGTACTATATGTAAAATTAACCGGAGAACACGCCTGTATAAACCCTGTTGACCTAAGACTCATAGTTTTTGAGATATGAATTTTTTTTTGAAAAAACTAAAAATGGCTCTGTACCCGGAYCCATAACCCGGAGCGACTTCCGGTTTGCGCCA